CTAAACCCTAAACCCTAACCTCGAGCAGGCGCGGCCGTGGCTTACGGTAAGCCTGGGATCTTCACCGGACCCACGCTGTCGGGCTGCTCCGCCCCTGCCTTAAAGAGACAGCTGCGGGTTTAGGGGTTCAGGGTTCAGGGTTTCGGCGTTTTGGGTTTAGGGGTTTAGGGTTTAGGGGTTTATGGTTCAGGGTTTAGCGGTTTATGGTTAGGGTTTAGGGTTTAGGGTTTACGGTTTGGGGTTCAGGGGTTTAGGGGTTTAGGGTTTAGGGTTTTGGGCTTAGGGTTTAGGGGTTTATGGTTCAGGGTTTAGCGGTTTAGGGTTTAGGGGTTTAGGGGTTTAGGGTTTCTGAGTCTATGGCCACCATGGCCCAAGGACTCCTCTTAAAGCTGTTTGTTGTTTGGTTACCTTCATTTCTGTGCTATTGAATCTAACAGTTCATGAAGTTGGCGAAGCAAGAAAAGGAACCAAACAGGGAAGCTTGCCTTTATCCATGCTTCGAACCTTTGGGGTTTAAGGTCGAACATATGCCGGGTCTAAATTACAGCTTGGGCTTCAGGGTTGTTCGGGGCTTCCGAGATCGCGTCGGTGATTTCGAGTTTCCATTATTGAGGCATTTGCTTTATGAGGACGTTTGGGTGTTCCCCTTCTGGAATTAAGTGTCCGCGTTTAATGCTTCAGCTTTGTAGTGGCTGGGGGTTAGATATTTCGATTTCGGGACTAGGTATCATGGTGTAGGTTTGAGTTTATGCAACGGGCTTCGTACTTGGGGGTTGCAGAAGGGTGTGTGCTCAAGAACTCAATGTTTAGGATTCACATCCATCGTTGGAGATGCCAGTGAAGTCGGAGCGCCACCCGAAGCCCGAAAGCCTAAACTACTGTAAACCTGAGTGACCTTTCGAGATCGACCGTCCGGCGTTGCCTCATGGACCCAGGGATGTGCCAGGAATTCCGGTCAAGATGCGTGCAGAACATACGACGTCATGGCTGCATAGAATTTGCAAGGTAGGTATACAAAGCCCTTATATAAGAGTATAGACTGCTGGTGCATGGTTGGAGTTTGGGGTATCCCTGTTTCTGGATTCTGATATCTAATATCGCTTAAAAACCCCTAAACCGTAAACCCTAATATCCCTCAAACCGGTGTCTGAAGGTCGCTGGTAACAAGATCACGGTGCACTTCAACAACTCTTTACTCTATTCAGAGAAGGTCGTTGTTCAGGACGATGCCGCCCTTGCTCTGCTGTGCTGCTAGCGCACAAGTCGTCGGTCAGGCGGATTCAGGCTTCGATGCGTTCGGCACCAGGGATTAAAAGGCAAATGTGTCGCAAAGCGTCTTTAACGCGGTGAGCTTTAAGCAAAAAGTCCATGCGAGGCTAAAGCCGCGGAGACGCTGAGACGACTTTTTTTTGTGGTATCCAATACACAGACACTGCATTGGCAGACACTCGAAGGAAGGAAAGAAGGAAGGAAGAAAGGCAAGAAGGAGGGAAGTCAGCAACGAAGGACAACACAACCAAAGAAACATAGATTTGTCTCCTATCGAAGAGTGACCGATCCAACTTGCCGATTCGGAATGCATGTCCATAAATTCGGCAAATGTTGATGGACAAAATGCATTAGACCTGCATACTCAACAACCCTGAAGAACGGTGGAGACTACGACATGCTGCTCTTTGATTTCTTCACCCTTAACCCTAAACCCTAAGCCCGAAACCCTAATCAGCCCCTGAACCTATCAACCCACAGCCCCCGCCTACAAAAGCTGAAGTCCTGCATGCTGAACCAGCCCAGAGAGCCCAATACCCCTTCAAGAAGGAATCTAGCTGAAATTATGATGTCCCCTCTAAGAATCTCTAAGAAGGAATATACATAATATGAAGCCTCTTATCATTTAAGTAACCCTAAACCTTAAACCCTAAACCCCTTATAATTTAAGCTATATTCCTTCTTGGGTTCTTTGGGAGATTCCGGGAAGGACTACCAGAAGATCAAGTCCAGCCGCCTGGAGGTTCTCACAAACCGGCGCCCGGACTGGGAATAAGGGCTCGGGGTTTAGGCTTCAGGGCTCCGGTGGAGTCTTTGGGGTTCGAGGTTTAGGGTTTGGGGGTTTAAGGGTTTAGGGTTTAGGGGTTAGGGGTTAGGGGTTAGGGTTTAAGGGTTAGGGTTCAGCGCTCAGAGTTTTAAAGGCTTCAGCGTTAAGAGATTATGGTAATTGGTGCAGGGTGTTTTCGGTGTTCTCGTTTAGAAGTTAGGCAGCTAGGATCATTTTATAACGAGACGACAAGTACTCCAAAACGGAACGAGCTCTTTGGAGGATCCTACCTCAGTCTGTCGCTCTGTGCTGTGATCTGTTTCGAAAGGACCTGCGTACGAGCACCTGTGTTTGCATGGCGTCTCCTTACGAAGTGTGTTGATCATGTTCCCTACACCCGAAAAACTAAACCCTGGTTGTTTATGTTCCGTTAAAGTACAGCCTTTAGGTTTGGTTTGGGTCATGGGATCGCGCGACAACGATGCAACAAGAGCGGAGGTCGCTGTTCTGCTTGCAGACATCTGGCCGCAAGACGGAGCAGTGCATCGACGCAGCTCGCCTGAATAAGCCTCTCATCTCATATAGGTGGTTCTCTAAAGTAGGGCATAGTACGGCACCCTCATCAAGAGGACCGAAAAGGGACCCTAATTAATCTAGAAAACTACCCATCGAGTTCATAATTTTCACCTTGGGTTTTGCCATTACATCTGACAGTTCAAGTTTAAGCTGTTTGGGCCTTTGAGGACATGCTTCAGTGTTCCCTGGCCACATAGGCCGGCTTTCGTCCGCTATATCAATGGCCAAGCATACTAGTAGTGCTTTCCCCTGCGACCGCACCTGAAGCTATCAGTGCAGGTCCTCAGCATAACAGTCCTCGCTATCGTCCATCTGCGCCGCATACTCTCATCTACCTCTTAACCTTATTGTGATTATTGAGGCCCGACATTGCAGTATACGGAAGTCTGGACCAAAAGCTGAAACGGATGGTTCTGAAGATACAAACGCACAGACACAGCCTAAACCCTCACTCGAATCAGAGGCCTCAGCCCCAAGACCTTTACACCTAAACACTAAACCCTAAACCCCAAAACCCTAAACACTAAATTTTCGTAAGCTGTGGAGACTTCAACCTTGCCTCAAAACCCCGAGGCCCCAAACCCGGGAAATCCTGAAATGTAAAGGGCTTCGGTTGTGGGGTGCAGGGTTTCGGGCCGAAGCTGGGTGTGGTGTTCAAGGGATTTACGGATGCAAGGTCTAGTTTGTAAGGTTTTGGCTTTAACAACGATTTAGGATTTGGGGCTTAGGGCTCA